AATTGCATTCCCCGCGTCTCTTGCCTTCCTCCGAATTTGGTGAGCTCGGTCCAGTACAAAATTTTCAACAGGCGGCATCTATTAGGAGGTTATCTATGATCCCCTTGCTTGAACTTGAACACGACCTATGTAAGGAAGTATGTCATACGACAGACAAAAAAAACTCCTTACCGACCATGGCTGTAATGACAAGAAAAAAGGTCCATGGGTTTTATCTGGGGCATTATAGTCAAGTTAGCCACCATGAATCATACCATTTACGAGCAAGTGTGATGAAAATAACATTGTAATTAAACAATAATACACCCTTTTACGACCGCATGGCAATGCCCGTGTCGAATATATATTAAACTTTGTTTATTTTTATTAACGAAATAATCACAATAGAGTTAATGTGGCACTTTTTTCTATAAGTTTTGATATCTAAAACACGCGTTCCAGTGTCATACCTCATTAAATTGCAATTAGACTTGATTGCCAACGGCGCGGCCGAATCCGACAAGTTAACTTTGACTATTCCAAGCGAATGCTGTAAATTCTACTCAAATGTGACTCATCGGTCCAATTCACAGACACGTTTGAGGTTTATCAAAGCATATTAGACCAACTTCTGCTTATCCCTATTTTTTCGTCCCTTACAATGAAATGACCCTTACGTTTTGTGTTTATGAACAACTCACGCTTGACCAAAAAATTTACTATGTTGAAATTGTTTTCACAAGAAAAGACTTAATGGTTCCTAACAAAGTTTCCTTGTATCTTCTATGGTTTCGGATTTCCTCATACTGCCCCATTTAAAAACACTCTGTATAAGTAAAATTTTATGCACACAATGATGAATTTGATGAAATAAAAGTTGTTTACATTGTTAGTAAAATATATATATTACACGTGTATTCAAATTTTAATTTTAAATAAGTATCGGTAAGTCGTGTAATGGTTAGGAGATTTCTAAGCAAAATAGCACCTAATAATCCATAATACCTACCTACACTGTTCGGATACAAGCGTGATCATTTGTATTTAGTATTGTTCTTGCACATAACTGTGACGTATGTAACCGTAGGTAGTTTAAGTAGGTTATAAGATTTATTATAGAAGGTAGAACGAAACTGATGTGTCTCCCTCGCCCAGTAAACGCTATACCGAACTGACGTGTTTCATTGTGCTCCGTACCTGAAATAGTGGACCCCGTAGCTGGACCTTATTCACAAATCTTTCAAAGAATTCGCGCTTCGGTAATGCATTGTGACAACCCGCGCATTTTTTATCCATTTGTGGAGACTTACTTGAAGACGCCTTCATTTCGCTTTAACTTGTAGCGGCCGTCCAGCAAGGCCCGCGGCCAAAACGTCGTAAGCGCCGTGGAGATCGCGTCGCTTACGCGTACTTGCCAAACAGCTTATTGACCCCGCGTTCAAACTTGGCTATTCCGCCTATAAATAACTCAATTACCACTGAATGTCACTTTTTTACCAATAAACACTTTCAATAATTACACTATTTTATAAAGAATCTCTGAATATAAATTTCAACTTGAACAGTATAGTTTAAATCGGTGTAAATTAATTTTGAAGCAAGAGCAAAATAAAAACACTGTTTACAAGCAAGTTGTTTAGACACCTTACCTCATTAGATAATTAGGACTTAAAATCTCGATTGCTTAGGCCAGCCTCGGAAAAGCCTCGTGGCCTAAACACGGTACACGACTTTAAGAATCCTCGTTATGCAACGATTGAATACAATACTATTGCTACGTTACGCGTGGTATGAGATTCCTCGTGTTTTATTAGTTTAACATGGTAAATAGTGCATTTTCTAAATACACACAAGAGATTTTTTCTTGAAATTGAAATGAAATGACGCAGTTGTAACTACATGCTTTGTTCCGGTTAAATGCTATCGATCATAAATCCACCATGATAACCGCTTGGCCACCCGGGTAATTAAAATTAAAATATAACAATAATTATTGTAAACATTTTTGCTAACTTACGAGTGGTATGAGATTCCTTGTGTTTTATTACTTTTCTAAATCCTACACAAGACGGATTTTTTCTTGAAATTGAAAGGAAATGACGCAATTGCAATCACATTACAATTATAGTAGCTGTAGAGCACTTTGTAGAAGATTTCGTCCTGGGAAGTACTGACACCTTACCTATTTCTGCTGCCATGCAATAATGTACGCTTACAGTGTTCCGGTTTTGATGGGTAATGGTGCTGGTGAAATTACAGGCACATGGGACTTTTCAACTTATGTTACACCCCAACACTCCATACAATGGTTGAAAGTTATTTACCTACTACTACTACTACATACAGTAAGGCACTATCTGCGCAAATGTGCGTGTGTGGACAGGCACGGTTCCACAACACTTTCTCGTACAATTGCGCTACTTGGTCAGAGCGGCAACTGTTATCTCTAATTCTTTTAATAGAATCCAAATAATTACACATGCTCATTAGGTATATATATCGATATAATATAATATTTTTATTAATTCACTAACTAGAATAATATTGAAGATTTATTTAAAAAATATATAAAAAGCTCTTAAACATTTTGTATTTTGGATACGTACTTTTAAATAAGATAACCAAGGTATTTGAAATTGCGTGTCCAAGTTTATCATTACCTAGTTAATAAATAGGTATATATAGGGGCGGTGAGTGTCCATTCTCGTTTCTTTTTTGTTCTCTGCTTATGTCTCAGGGTGACAGGCACAGTGGCAGTGTCCCTCACATCTTTGCGATTTAAAGCTCTGAGTGACACTTCAAAAAAAACATGTTTTGTCCAGGTCAAATGGAATCGAGCATGATGTCGTGGAACAACGTTATGATTGGCTCTGGCATAAGTTTACTATTGTGTTTTGCGAGAATTTTATTGCGAATAGAGTATTGTAAAAACATAGTTCTGGACAAGTTTATTTGCATTCCAATTAATTTACTACTCCTTTGATAGCTTCGTTTACTTCCAATTCTAAATTAAGTTTCTGCTTTTTGTAAACAACAATGAATAGATCATCTGCAAATACGTTACATGGGTACTGTGTGGTCATAGACAAATCATTAATATACAGTGTAAATAAAAGGGGCCCCAATACGGATTCTTTGGGTACCCAAACACTATACACTTAGAAGATAGATCAGTGAGCAAAGTACTCTGCCTCCGTGGCCGAACGGTTGCCAATACTGGACTGCCACGCAGAGGCCTTGGGTTCGATTCCTGCCTGGGATAAACAATTGTATAGCCTACATTTATTTCTCTCGTGAGTTTGGGTATAATTTATGGTTGTCTACATATGTGTTTGTCCATGACAAACGCGATACAGGGTTTCCCTAGTGCGGGGCTATGAGTGTGTCAGTTAAAAAAATTACTAATTGACAATGTTTTCTATAATTTAAATGAATGAGCAAATAAATAAATAATAAATAACGCATACACTCAACATATAATTTAAATTTTTATTTCACATTGCACACACTCAACGTAAAATTTAAATGTGAATTTAAATTATTCAAATTGATTTAATCTCCCTCATGGGTTTGGGTGTAAATTGTGGTTGACTATGTGTGTGTCCATGGCACTCGCGATACACGTTGTATTATGTATAGTTTTCCGTTTAGTTCTAATTTAACTCTTTCACAAGGAGCTCTACTGAACAATGAAAATCATTTCAGAGCACTATCCAAAACACTCCGACCAGAACCAATTTCTAAAGTTGATTTCCCAAATTGGTTCCATCGGGAATCGAACCCGGAACTTCATCATCCAGTGCCCACGAGGCAAATCGTGAGGCCGCCAATCGGGGTGCACGAGAGCAGCGTCCCCACACGTAGTACCTTTTTTTTCCTAACTCTCGTTACTCAATTTTAAACATTCGGTCTAGCTATTTGGGGTAACTGGCAACTAACCTACTATGTTCTTCGACTTGTTATTTGAATTAAATTTGATTGAATTTTAACCAAATTGCCGTTTAAACCCTTGCTCGTTCTAGTTATTTAGTAACGGTTTATATCCTTCGGCACCATTCAAAATAGTTTGCGCGGGAATCGCAGTTTTAGCTGTCAGGTTTTTTCTTCTGAAAATAAAAAAAAATTAAAACCAGACAATTCATTTTGTGATACAACGTTTGAGGTTTAAAAACCTCAATGAGAAAATCGTTGATAACTCAAAGTCAAGGCTGACTGCGTAACAAAAATTGTTTGACGCGGGAAACTTAAGCATGTTTGCTGCTTTCTGACTTATAACGCCATCTAACGGCGTTTTAGCGAACTGTTTGGGAAACATTATGATCAGTGATAATGATGTTTTACAAAGAATGTTTTGAAGTTTTGTGTCTCAAACGTCTTGAATTCATGTGTATTATAGGTGCAGTACGCAGTCAGATCTTAGAGGGTTAAAGTAATTTCACGGTTACTTTAGACCTATATGCCAGTGGAAAGCTGCTGTACACATCCAGCTACCGCTTTACCCGTCTTTGCAAGTTTGAGAACATAATGCAATCACGACAAAATGGTTAATGCTAACAGAGACGATTTAATTTAGTAATTTAATGTAACTGTTACACTTTCTTACCACAATACATACATTTTATGGAAACATAATTTACTTATCTGAGGTTTTACACCGCAAGTTTTTGCCACCGATATTGTTACTTCCGGTCTTTACAAGTGATTACAAATTATATTGTTTAAATTTATGTAGCTACGTAGTTATAATTTAGTGTACAACAACCATTCCTAGTACAGATTACTGTACATATTTATAAAGCTTAAGGGTACTATTTGTAGACTGTATAAAAGTTCTAACTATATTTGTAAACGCACACGATTAACTTAAAAAAATCTAATGTCAAAACTCGATTTATAAGTTTTTCGCGCGTATTTTCACGAAAATGCCAAAATAAATTATAACTAAATTTAATTTCAGTTAAATAGTAAAGATAAATTAAAACTACGTATTTAAATACATTATTCGTGTAAATTAAAGTGCCATTCACAGTGTTTTTTTCGAAAGTATTTGTAGTTCCTTACACCAAAAATATTTTTTCTGATATTTCCAGTATGTCCAAAGTAAAACTAAATTTGATAGCGGCAGCATGTGACAATATGGGTATCGGAGTAAATGGAACCCTACCGTGGAGGCTCAAGTACGTATTTTAAGATTTACATCTGTGCGAGCTTCCTAACCTTTACTTTTTCTAGAAGTTGTAACATAAACTTCAATCATATAGGTCACGCGTTATCGTAACCTTAAGACGACATTCCGACATAAAAACACACCCCTTATCAAATAAATTCTCATTTTATCTATATCTGAATATGGCAACATGATATTCCATATACGTTATTAGTTTAATTCTAATAATCGGCTACAGCCAGATTCTCAGACCTTACATGACTACGTAGGGCCCATGTCAGGTATCATGGTCATTTCATTTGTCACTAAGGGTCGTATTCTAGAACTCTACTCAATGCTCAAGTCGGGATTTGAGTATGGTTTAAAGCACTCGAAATCATTCTCAAGTCCCTGCCATTAGGGTCGTATTTCCAGTGCTTGTGTTTCAAATGCAATCCTGACTTGAGCATTGAGTAAAGTTCTAGAATACGACCCTAAGATTCTATAATCATCAGCCACTTACAATCCCTAACAGTATTGAGCCCCTTAATATGTGAAAAGAAGTTGACTAACTGTGTTAGCTTTTACAGTTTGTACAACCTTTGGAACTTGTACTACTGTCTAATTTCCACTAGTAGAGCTACTTGTGAATCAGTTTGTAGTACAAAGTACTGCCACCTTACCTATTTCTGCCACTTAACTGTAATGTGTGCAATACTGTGTTCCAGTTTTGAAGTGCTGGTACAGGCACCTAGGACTTGTCAACTTATGTCTCAGGGAGACGACACAGTGGCAGTGTCCCTCCAATCTTTGCAATGTACAGCTCTGAGTGACACTACCATTGTCATGGAAAGGTGTGTTGCTTATCACCAGGCTCACGACTTGTTCATCCTGTCACTTGGTACTATAATAAAAAAACATCACGCTAAAGGGGTAGAGCCTTCCCACTTGATGCCGGACATATAAAACCAAGAAGGATCCCTTCTGATGTGTTTTCTTTAGACTATGACATGGGGTTCTTCAAAAGGCACAATGGGCATTTGCAACACTCATGTGGTGAAAATGTCCATGGACGGCAATTACCACCTCCCATAAAGTGGCTTGTCAGCTCGTTTGACTCCTACCTTAAATAAAACTTACCACTGCTCAGATCTTTCTGCGATTCCAGGCCTGGGCTTCTCTATTAATATGTTCTATTTAAATTTCAGAAACGAAATGGCATACTTTAGTAAAATGACATCTGGAGTAACAGATTCATCAAAGAAGAATGCAGTAATCATGGGACGACAAACGTATGATTGTATCCCAGACAAGTACAGACCATTGAGCGGTAGAGTTAATATTGTATTAACAAGGAGTGTTGAAGAGCTAAAAAAAAGAGTACGTATTTTTACCCCATTTATAGAGTATTTAATGCGTTCATCATTTCACTTGTGATTTCAATTTAACTCTATGCAAATTATATTCTGTAAACTTTTATAAACTGCTCCACTAGTTTGTTGTAATCATTAATACAAAGATCGAACACTCAGAAATTCCTTCAATCCGGTCGGATTCGAACCGACGTCTTCTTGCATACCGTGCCAGACGCTATACCAACTAAGCAACGGAACGAACCAACGGACCCAACGAATTTTTCTATGTGCTTGCGTCGTGTCTTTGTATTTGGTTTTTTCAACGACTTTTTAGTCGTAGCGCCATCTATGAAAGATTTATAATCCAGTTAGTACCTTTACAGCTACTAGTCCTGGCGAGAGATGTCGCTATTCACTTTGTTTTAAATTTTTATTGAATTGATATTCAATTATTTTTTGTGAAATTACTCCACTAGTTTGTTGTAATCATTAATACAAAGATGGAACACTCAGAAAAAAATTTTAATTTTATAAATTGGTTCTGGTCAATGTGTTCTGGGTAGAGCCCTGTAGTTATCATCAAATCAAATAATTTCGTTGGCTAAATTCATAAACCTCGTAACCTCTATTAATATGGACTGTTGAGTAAGCACAAAAAACAGAATTACTTGAAATTATGTCAGAGTCAAATAATTTATTTACATGTCACAGTTAAAGCATACAATTTCTGTTGGCAGATTATAATAAAGTATCATTTGACTCCGTGTAAGAGCATGGTAAATTGCAGAAGGCTTTTTTATAATAAATTAATAAATTTAAACAACAAAATACATATTTCAAACAATTCCACTTAAATTCATGCAGTAATAACAATAATATTTAAACAATTTTAACATAGTTGGGTAGTTTAGTAGGTTTAGGTAGTTGGGTAGTTTTCCCAATAGTTTACCCAAAGGTTGGGTAGTTTTTTTTTTATAACGCACACTCAACATAGTCCCGCACTAGGGAAACCCTGGGTCGCGGGTGCCATGGACACACACATAGACAAACACAAATTACACCCAAACTCACGAGAGAAATAAATGTAGACCATATTTCTCCTGGCCCGGCAATCAGACCCGGGATCTCTGCGTGGCAGACGAGTATAGTAACCGTAAAAAAAAACAATTCCATTCAAAAAGTTGATTTTGTATTTAATGTAATTTTGTTTGTTACTTATTTAATGCGAATCTTTGGATTGTTAAGAATAGCAATAAAGTGTCATGTAATTATATTTCTAGTAGAATACACAAAGTAGATTATACATAAATATAAAATACCAACTCTTCCAACAATAAAACAAATATACAAAAATATTTTACTTTGTTAATAAATAGGTTTATAGTATCTGCTGCCGATTTTTTTCATCCGCCCTTTTTAGTAGTAATATGCACCTACCCTTGTGAGTGAGCAAAGAAAGTCATCCTATCTCACTCACTCCCATCGCCGAAATGGCCTGATTTGAAGAGAACTACGAGTGGCGCGCTCAGTCACCACGGAACGGAGATCGCGCATTGTATCAAATACCAATGTCGTGATGTGAGTGACGGAGATAGCTATTGGAACGGAGGAACACCTATGTGACTTTGGAACGTCGTTCCTTCGGAACGAGTCACGGTGATACTGTTTGACGGCCGATCATCGTGATTTTTTCATCGTGACATTATTTATCACCCACCTCTAATGACAATTAGATGCGCGCGGTCACTGCGCGGCGGCAAATCGGTGTCAATTTCAAACAAGAAATTCATTTTGAATAAATGCGCCCTTGCAGGTGGAATATTTTCTTCAAACTTAAATGGGACCAGTACTGAGGTACCCTCTTTCCAACAAAAAATAATCACCAAAATCGGTTCACAAATTACGAGTTATCGCGTAACATACATACAAAAAAAAATACAGTTTTTTTCAAGTCGGTTAAAAAGAAAAAACCAGCAACATAGAGTAAAGTCTGTGTGCAAATGATGTTTTAAAATTGTAATTTTATCATGACCTTGCTTATGTCAGCGTATATTTCTTGCATTATAAGCAAATTAAAAAAGGTGTTCGCTCTCTATTAATTTTGTATAGACCTTTTGACTCTGGACGACCAGGCCGGCATTGAATATTTAAATAAGCAAACACGTAAAATATTCATTTTCATTTCCAGGTACCCCGAGAAGTAGTTGTAGTAAATGGCTTAGACGAAGCCATTCAGCACATTGAGGGCAGGCAGGACATTGAGTCTACCTGGGTCATAGGGGGCTCTGAGGTTTATAAGGTAATTTACACATTCCATGGCTAGCCATGGACTCATGGACCTCCAGTTAGAAGGTCACAGCTTAAGTTATTCGGTACCTTTTCTTTTGGCACCTCCAACCTTACTGTCCTGTGTGGTCGACTCTGAACCTTACGACAGATTTCTTTTCATATTTATTCACAACACTCGAATCGAACGTCAAACTGTCGTATTCGAAACCGAACCGACATGACGTCAAACCCGTACAATTATAACGCACACACGCACACACTCAACATAGCCCCGCACTAGGGGAAAACCCTGTGTCGCGGGTGCCATGGACACACACATAGACAACCACAAATTACACCCAAACTCACGAGAGAAATAAATGTAGGCCGTACAAATATTTCTCCCGGCCCGGGAATCGATCCTGGGACCTCTGCGTGGCAGTCCGGCATGGTAACCGTTCGGCCACCGAGGCAGTCAAATTACTCGAACTGCTCGACCAGCAAAGGCTACAAACGTTATTCAGGACACAGTTAGTTATGAAGTCTGGATTTTGTTCAATTTTATTAATTTCTTTTAATGCAAGACTAATAATGCATTCCTATATTTTAGCCCTTTAAAGTCTTAAAAATGTATACATTTTTCTTATTATCTACGTCACCAACTAACTCCGTAAACGCTGTCGAATAACGATATCATATCCGAATCAACTCGGAATATTCTTAATAGTTGGCTGCCTCTGTGGCCGAACGGTTACCATGCCGGACTGCCATGCAGAGGTCCTGGGTTCGATTCCCAGGCCGGGAGAAATATGTGTATGGCCTACATTTATTTCTCTCGTGAGTTTGGGTGTAATTTGTGGTTGTCTATGTGTGTGTCCATGGCACCCGCGACACAGGGTTTCCCTAGTGCGGGGCTATGTTGAGTGTGTGCGTTAATATTATTATTATTATTATTATTATTATTATAGCTCGGAAAGCGCCCTTCGATTCGAGAACGATATCCAATCCAAGTCTAAAAATCGCGCAGTGGTCCTTGTTAGTGGTGGCTTGTTAGTCCAGTCACTAGGTATCATAAAAAATCAAATTATTTTACAGCTAAAATAATAAAGTGACAACCCTACGCTTCTTTGCGATGTGAAGGCATTTACTTTACAAGCAAGTTATACTTCTTGTCTTAATATATTATGTCTAAGGGTTGTATCAAATTTTTTTTATTATTATTATTTTCAGCGCTCCATGGTCCACCCAGCTTGCGATAAAATTTACCTTACTGAGATCCAAAAGTCATTTGAATGTGATACATTCTTCCCATCCATAGACCATGGTCAATTCGTCCTGGTGACTGAAGATGGAGTGCCTCAGGATTTGCAGCAAGAGGGAGACACACCATACTATTATAGAATTTATAAAAAATGTAATTAAGTTTAAGAGATATGTTTTGTAAACAGATAAAATCACAATAATTAAAGTAATATGGTACCTGTACACCTGTATACCTTGTTGTATCTATGGCGACAGGTATACATATGTGTTTAATTTGTATGCTACGTATATATATGAATGTTTTTTTTTTCTTGCTCCTTGGCACTATGACGTCCCGGCTTTGGCTATATGCAATTTCAATTAAGTTGCCAATTTTTGGTAATTTTTCCAAGTAAATCGCATCCCTTATTCCAGCGTGACCATGGTCGAGTTTTCGAAATTTGATTAGCCAGTTAAAAAGTCGCTATTTAGTCGGTGCTAGTCGTAAAAAACTACATTTAGTCGTTACGACGTTTTGAAGTTATTAAAGTGTTTTATTGTCCACCCTGGAATAAGCTGATTCCAGCGGCAACATTTCTCAATCTAGAGAACCACAACACCTAGCTTAAATCTGATTACACTAAAAAAGTCGTGATTTAGTCGGTTCTGGTTGTAAAAAACTAAATTTAGTCGTTACACCGTTTTGAAGTTATTAAGGTGTTTTACTGTCCACGCTGAAATAAGCTTATTCCGGCGGCATCATTTTTGAATCTCGAAAACCGCGGCTCCTAGCTTAGATCTAATTGCACCCAGAAAAAATCGTGAATTAGTCGGTTCTAGTCGCGAAATTTTAGAGTTAGTCGCTCCTTTGTTTAGAAGAATTGGATATTCAATTATTTTCATTCGTAAGTACATTGACGTAGAACAGGACACGCAAATAAATCTTTGCTTCCTTCTTGAGGCTTCAGGATACTATTGTCTTCGCAGAAATTTCCTTGTTATGGAAGATGTTCATGAATGTTGAGTAGTTAATAACAATACATTATAATTATTAATACAAAGATCGACCCTTAGAACAAAGACACTTAGAAAAATTCCTTCGATCCGGCCGGATTCGAACCGAGATCTTCTAGCCAACCGTGCCAGACGTTAAGCCACGGTCACGCTCACAAATTTTTCCATGTGCTTGTTTGTCGGATCTTTGTATTTGGTTTTAGCGACTTTTAGAAATCTATGAAAGTATTTCGTCACCGAATTAGGCACCTTTACAGCTGTCAGCAGTTTACAGTTATCTTTGTATAATAATTATAACAAACTAGTGGAGTAATTTCACAAAAAATAATAACGCACACACTCAACATAGCCCCGCACTAGGGAAACCCTGTGTCGCGGGTGCCATGGACACATACATAGACAACCACAAATTACACCCAAACTCACGAGAGACATAAATGTAGGCCATACAAATATTTCTCCCGGCCCGGGAATCGAACCTGGGACCTCTGCGTGGCAGTTCGGCAGAACGGCATGGTAACCGGTCGGGAACTCTACAACAAGGACTGAACGCCGAGCGCTACAAACATAGTAGAATATAATCTCAGTACAGAGTACTAAAAAAACCGACCTCAAAAGTACGTGGAATTACGTCTATTTGCTAAGTTTTATTGAAATATCCCCATAGTTCGCCACTATACAGGACTTGACACTGGAGACAATAAAAATGGGTTCTCACTACGAAACTACTCAAAGTATATTGAGAGAAAAACGCATTGAATTGAAGAAATAGCAAAATCAAGCATTAAAGTAATTGCTCCTAAATTAAAGTTAGGCGCTATTTATACCAAAAAAAGCCACCCTTCGAGGTGGATTATTTTCTTCAAAATGAAATGGCACCACTATGGAAGTACCCCCTTTCCAACAAAAAAAGAATCATGAAAATCGGTTCACAAATACCGGAGTTATCGCGTAACATACATACAAAAAAAAAGAACATACGAACGAGTCGAATTGAGAACCTCCTCCTTTTTTGAAGTCGGTTAAAAACAAGAAAGGCAACTCGGTGCCAACTCAGCCAGGGTACCTTTAGGCTCAATTTATATTGCGGCGCAGACATGAATGCGAATTTTTTGTAACGATATTGTAGTTAAATTTTTATTGAATTGATATTCAATTATTTTTTCGTGAAATTAGTCCACTAGTTTTCGAACACTCAGAAACAATTTCTTCACATAAAAAACACGAGTGTTGGTTTATACACATAAAAACATCACGCGAGTGTTTTAATGCCTAATTATGTACAGTTACGTACACTGCTTTATCTATACACATATTATAAGCTCTCTATGATGTGTTCAGGAACCGCATGCTACGACTGGCAAAATGGCGGCAAATAAAAACCTTTCTCGCGCAACCGTAGTTTTTATTTAATTCATAGACAAATAATAGTCGGCCCCAACTATCATATCGTGCGATATCAAGTATCGTGACAAATTTGTCAAATTGTTTGCTATTGACATTTCATTTCGGTTAAAACGTAATCTCGACTGATATTAGAATTGAGGTCGAATGAAATTGTTTTGTTTTTCGGAGATGTTCAGAATTTGAATGTCCTAATAAAAACGAATTCGATGTTATTATGAAGCAATAACATTTTCACAGATACGAAATTTGTTCTAACAAAACAGTTTACCTGTATGCTGATCGTAATTTGCGGTTTTTGAACACATCAGTGTTTATGACACATGTGTAGATAAAAAAAAGATATTTTTGGAGGATTTTAGATACATAATTATTCAACATAAGCGACTGTATCAATGCAATCGTGCGTTTGCATCGCTGCTAAGTCGCCGTGTGAAACCACTCTAAATGGCACAAACTATATGAGATTTCTTAACTGTAGCCGCAATGTAGTCAGTGTATTGTAAAAACGCCTATTACAAAGGAATTCAGAATAAAAAACACAATTCGATTAAGGTTATTTAATCATTTATCAATTAATACATTTAAACTTACGATTAATAAACTACAAAACAAACTGTCCCAACTAAACACCTTTAAAATTTTCGTCAAAACTTCACACGAAATTTGCGTTCGTGAAAATTTTTCACAAAAAATTTTCGGTGATTTTATTACGTAAAAGCAAAAAGGTCTTAATACTTTGGAAATAAGAAATACTGAAACACAAATGGGACAGCTGCGAAAATTAAAAGCTAAAAATTCTAAGTTTCACTAATTTTGACAGTTACTGTACGTTTGATATTATGAAAAGAAGGATTTATGATGGTGCTGCAGCCGTAAGATCTTTCACATTTTCATAACGGTTCTCATGAACATACAGCCGTCTAGCCTCAACTCAAATGACGTAGCTGTTGCCTGTGCAACTTGACTGTTTATAACTGCGTCCTTTTGAAACCATCCTCCACTGTATAAGATTGACGGCTGTCGTTTGTTATTATTTCTTTTAAGGCGGCAACTAGGCTTGTGTCAGTTTTACAAGAATAATAACAAAAATTATGGCGATTATCGCCAATGTCAGTTCAATGCTAGTTAAAGTAATGGATATAACCGGTTTTCTTTTTCTTTTTTTTTTTTGGTGTATTAGGCTTCTGTTCCGCTGAGGCCAATTAGCCAGTATCCGGGTTGAAATCGGTTTTCGATTCGTTCCGAATTTGAACAGTTGACAGTGACATCTGAATGACAGTTCAGCTTGTCAAAACGGCAGTAACTGTGAAAGTTAGTCGGTCATAAATCTAAATACTAATACAGTAAATCTATACACATTACTAAACAGTATTGCCTATAGAGTTTACCTAAAGTTAAGACTAAAATAAAGGTTTCTTTAACATAAAACTAACTAAATGTCACTAAAAGTTGGCATTTTGACATTTTAAAAGTTATTTGACAGATGTATACTTCCGATTAATAGCAACTGGTAGGATTCAACATTAATTTTAGATGTCTGAAATTGAAGCGAATATTTGGAAGCCATTTTGGATTTTTTGGGTATAGGAATAAAAATGACATTGCTGCCAACTTAAAAATGACATAGTACACTAAGTTACAGATAATGAATAATATTCTGCATTTAAAGAACGTAAAAAGAAAAAATCATAATTATTGGTGCAGTGAAAAAAACGTGGAATAACTTTCTTTTTAAAACTGCACGTGGTATTAAAACAAAAATGTGATAAGTGGTAGCGAAATATTTTTACAAACATTTTTTTGTTCATTTTTTCAAATTTTTTGTTTTTTTTTTTAATTTTTTATATTTTTTTATTTTTTTTTCGCACTATCCCGGAGCGGGTGAATATTCATAATACACGACGACATACACATTTTTTTTATTATAATTGTAAAGACAATAAAACAGTAAAGGAAATATTATTCCATAAAATTTCTACAATGCCAGTTTTAATAAAAAGCCTGGTATTGTACAAATGAAATGCTTTTTTGTCTTGTAATTATTCTTATGTTATGTCAATAAGGATGTTCATGACAAACGAGTAGTTTAGGTCACAGAACAATATAAGAATAATTATAAGAAATCAGGGTCTTAATAAAAAATAGTGGTAATATTTTGTAAAGCAATTTACGGAAATGCCGCCATTTCGTCGAGGCCACATTTTAAGAAGATTGTAAAGACAAAGGTGATATTCTGCCTTCTATCCAGTAAAAAGATTTACAAAATTTTTCATCTAAAATATAGCAAGAATAAAATATGTAAATACTAAACATCTAAATCTAACTCGTTGGCGCCTTACTACAGTGTTTTTTTTATCAATAGTGCTTGAATACTGCTACAATAGATTTTTGAAATTCTAGAAATAAATGTGCTTTAAGCGACTTTGCACTTTTCGTCTATAAAAATAAAAGTCAAAGCAAAAAAGTCAGTAAATATGTTTTCTTTGCTTACTTATAATGTTTTGTATGTGGTAAATATAGTTTAAATATGATGATTATTCATGTATGTTGTATAATAATATGTTAAGGCGTACATATTGTATTGCTGTAATGATTCCATGAAGCTTTCTAGCGTGCAAAGTCACTTCTAAAAATTTTGTACTAGTATTGGTCATTAAATTCTTTTCTTGGATAACCTTTAATACAACTTTAAAAAATACACAATAGATGGCGTTGTTTATCATTTTCACAATGTATTGATACTACAAGTACCGATGGTAAAGACTGCTAGCGCCATCTAAGGGACTATTGCGTTCCAAATACATTTTTTTCACATGCATGGCATTACATTAAATACTGACAATAAAAATGCCATTACTGTACGCGTGATCTTTGCTTATATAAGTATTGTTAACTTTATTGACCAATAATAGTCCAAGAGCCTATAGTTGAGGAGCCTACTGCATGTTGTAGTGCAGGAACAGGTAATCAGGATGAGCGAGGTGGGGGGGCAGAATTGGAGATGCGGGAGGGAGCAGAGCGAAACCCATGAACATGAATGTGCGCATGAGCGTCGCGCGGTCCGGCCGAGATTTTAGCACGCAGATTATGCAGCTGGAACGAAAAGAAATAGTTGTTAGTTAGTGCCGTGGAAAGCTCTGTTCGAACAAAAAGTTTAAACTAAAACACGTGCAATTTATATATAGTGTAAATAAATAAATAAAACCATGTCACCCGAATTTTCACTTTTTCTACTCTTATTTGTCTCTGTCAGAGTTACTCCCCATACGTCAGCACCAAAGAGTACATAATGAGTACAGAGTCATCAGCTCATAAGACCCCCGGCAGCTAACACGGGAAGTATTTTTCCCTATACATACATACACAAATCTCCAAATTCGTGCTTTCTTCTGGCTTTCTGGGTTCATGTTGTTATTTAAACATGTTTTGAAGTTAATACACTGCCTTTTGAAATTCGCTCCCGAACACATAAATCGAGCCATCTTGCATTTTTATTTTTAAAGTGCTAGAATAAAAAAAAATTATTGTCACTGAAGTAAGTTTTCCCCGGTTTCGCAAATTCAAATTTTCAACAAAAACTTTTGAAAATGACGTTTAGTACACCAGTTTCAAACTTGAATTAGTTATTGATCAATCAAACATTATTTAAGCCAAGGACATTTAATACTGACAATGTAAAGTGGCTCCAATTATGTGTCCGGGAGTATATTTCTGAAAAATATCTAAAAATTGTATAGAAAACAAAGAGATGCCAACGCCATCTATTATTTAACGACGTCCATCTTCCCGGATGTACAAAGCAAAACGTATATACGTAGTGATTAGACGGTTACCTATCAGTAGCGCGAAATGACATTTTCCAGAAATAACGTTTGCTTGAATTTTCACAACCTCGAAAGTAACTTTGAGAGGACAATGTTTTTTCCTTTAAACCTAACTTAACCTAACCGAACCTAATCGTGTCTTTGCGATAAACATCCAACATATCCTGAAAGAGCAACGGTTTCGTTATAATTCGGTTTTCGGTGTAATGAAAATTCGAACAAAAGTTATTTCGAAAAAAAAATTCGAGTTTGTGATAGGTTACCGATTAGACCATGGGCGTGGTCAGCACGCATCAGCACTAAACACATCAGCATTAGGCGTAATGACGACACGAAGTAAGCAAGGAACCGTCCTATCGTCATACTCATATTATGTACTAAATACAAACAAGGTACACTGGTAAATTGGCATAATTTTCAAAACAGTTTGTTGAAGTCTGTGAGTTTATTATACTTCAATCAAACCGCAATAGATGGCGTTGTTTATAATTTTCAGAAAATATAAGCAGAGTTGGCAGTGGGTTAAAACCCAATCAACGCGCCTGAGTTTTTACCCAAATAGCCGGTTAAAGTGGTTTTAACCCATTTCTGCTAAAAACTGGCGGAAACAGCGAATACGGAAATTAGTATAATCACAAACTTATAACAAATTTCGATGTAAAAAATCTTTTGTAGATTTGTAAATTCTCACTACTAAGGGCGAACATTATGATTCGATTTTTTAGAGTTCCTTGTGAAAGAGTTCTTCCAGGGAAGTACTGGCACCTTACCTATTTCTGCCGCCAAGCAGTAATGTGAGCATTACTGCGTTCCGGTTTAGAACAGTAAGGCTGCTGGTGAAATTACAGGCACATGGGACTTGTCACTTGTATATCAGGGCGACGGGCGCAGTGGCGGTGCTCATCAGATCTTTGCGATTTAAAGTTCTAAGTGGTACTGCAACTGTTATGGATAGTCGTGTCGCTTATCACCAGGCGCACAACTTGTACGTAGCGTGTCACTTAGTATTATAAAAAAGAGGTTTCTATGAAGATCGAAGTGCATACGATCTAACGATTTTTTGTATCGATTTATTTCAATGCAATTTTCAAGCGAATCGATTAAATGGAAAAGCAAACCGAATCGTCTAGATCAGAAAGAAATAATCATTTTGTAATTAATAATTTTAAATTTGAACACAATTAGCCTTAAAACAAATGCTTAGTTGTAAATATTTATTGCCCTCGATTTTGGGCGTTAATGGATTTTATTTTAATCCGATTTAAATCGGACGTTAAGAAAGCGCCAAGTTGAAACTCAGGCGCCCATCTCTGTCTATAAGTATCGATGATAAAACCTTACAACCCCATCTATCGACAATTGCAAATTCCTGTTAATGACAATACGTACATGTCAATAAAGACAATCCCCAAAATTATGTATTTTCGGACTTTTCAAAGTCAACGGTCAGCTTTTTGTTATAAAAATAGTCATACTAACTTGGTGGAACCGAGCCTCTCCTCTGCGAAATCAAGTAAGAGCAAGAAGCTTTCCTTGCTGCCGGCTTGCAGGACCCCCGGCACTCGCAGGTAGATTGTGTTGCCTTGGACCACCTGTAAATGATAAACAAACATTAAGAGTCTTAGCACGAATTCTGCTTTCTTTCCAATGTAACACGTACGAAAGCCTGACGCATATAGAAGGAATTTCGATCGCTTCGTTCAATTTCAATATTTTATTGCATCTTACGACTAGCTTCATATTTAAACAGATCATTGTAGACCCTGTATAGGGCATAGCAAACTAGAGAGGAGAACGTACTTGCGATCAAGAATTAAACTTTTAAATATTATTCTGAATAAATTCTGAAATAGTTTTAATTGAAGATTCTGAATGTGGTCGCATTGTAACTTTTCATAAAATGTTTCTATCAAAATGTTCACCGACTGAATGGAAAAAATGGAAACCAATTTTCATGATTCTTTTTTTATTGGAAAGAGGGTACCTCCATGGTGGTCCCTAGACGTGGATGATTTTCTCCTCTCACCTCTGAGGGTGGCTGTTCACACATGAAGATTCATTTTTATAAATAGCACCTAAATTTTAATATAAGGAGCCATTATTTTAATGGATGATTTTGCTATTCTCCAATTCAAGGCGTTTTTCTATCTCAATATACTTTGAGCAGTGAGAACCGATTTTATCTCCTGTGTCAAATCCCGTATAGTGGCGAACTAGGGGATGAATCAATAAAACTTGGTAATTATATGTAATTCCACGTACTTGAGGTCGGTTTTTTTAGTACTCTGTACTGACATTATGTTTGAGTCGAGTTGCAGGGACACCGGCTTCATTTCAAAATTTATTTTTTCTATAAACGAATTATAGCCACTTGAAAAATGTATATCGCATACTATACGCGTTCTGTTTAGTTCGGTTGATATAAATAAAAATAATTGGTATATTATGTAAAGTATGACGTAAGTTTGTGTTTTCAGGAATCGTGTTTTCACAACGTATAGTAATTAAAGTATGTCCTCAATTTTATATATTTTATATCTTTCTATCTATCTATTTTACATTTCTATATATTTTTTCCAAAATGATTGATTCAATACTTCACTGTTATTAGGAACCAACTAAAGGATGATGAACCATTTGAGGATGTATAGACTCTTAACTCTTGTATAATTGAAGCTACCTGCGCATAGCTGGTGTAAACCACACCATTTGTTTCTACAATATTACTTCAAATGATATCAAAGTACATATACTCCGTCTAAACATTTATTTAACTTTTGATAGCTCGAATTCTAATCCATTAGTGATGTCCTAATGCGTTTCAGGTTCGATTGTTTTGTAACGATTTTATTTGTGAAGGACATTTAATCGTGAATGTCAGCGGGTTCAAAAAAGAAGACATTGTTTGATTACGATCATGATGTTGCGTGTGACAATTTGTGTACGCAAGAATGAATAATTAATGTTTATGAGGATTCAAGTGATGATTCTCGTTCATATAGCTAAGAATCCGACGATTCATATAATAAACAGTAAAAAGTTATTATAATTGTTTATAATTTATACGGCGTTAAAATCGCATACAGAGCGTCAATCGCGCAACAGTCTTCGTTTGTTCGACTGACAGCGCGGTTGTCACTCATGCAGTACCATATAATACGTAGAGGGAGAATCGGGTATAGGGGCTCTATAAATAATAGGAACGTATTTTAGATGATATTTGAAGTGTTTTTCTTGATTGAAAGATTTTTGTTTGCATCGTATAAACCTCCTAAAATAAGGAGAATATCTTACTTTTGTCAAATATGTCCATCTCGCTTTTAACAGCAGTTGTAATGATACGCGAGGAAGAGAGATCAAATAAATAACGTATAAATTAAATTAGACAGGCTTAAGCTGATTTTAGGGATACCGTTCTTTTGCCACTATCTTTTCCCCAATTTATGAGTCATTTTAAATATTGTATTTTTATAACTTTCAATACTTTTTCAGTTCAAAATACGTATACTAAGTTCAAGGGCCAATAAAAAAGGAATGATTTGTCATAATTGTTTTATTTGGTTACTAAAACTCAACCAAGCTAAATGTGATCTGGCGGATTCACCCTCCTTAGACTCGGCAGATTTCATCATTATCATGAACCCATTCATATGTCCCACTGCTGGGCACGGGTCTCCCCTCAGGCGAGTGCTTAGGCGACAGTCCACCACACTGACCCAATGACGGTTGGGGACTGCACACGTTTTCCGAGGACTTTGAACCTTCTTCAACGTTTCATCACGATGTTTTCCTTCACCGAAAAGCTCATGATAAATTTCAAATTAAATTTCGCCGAGAACACCATTACTCTTGTGTTCAAGTAATTTTCAGTCGAAGCTAAATATGGTGCATTTTGTTAAATTTCCAGTAGAAGCTGAATATGGTGTTTTTGGGCCCTTAAATTGTTGCAAGCAAAATTAGGCAGTACTGCAATGACGTTACAATTTAAATTAAATGTTTTAGTTTTTTTATATTTCGTTACATGTCACTACGTTTGTATAGGTCACAGTTTGCATACCTATACTAGGTTAACTTCGGACATTTTTTCGTGGTTTTTGTATTACGTCCATTTGTTGATAGGTCAATGAATACAATCCATTTTTTGCATTTCAGTAATTTTGTGCTTTAAGATGCGAGTGTGAAAAGTAAGGCGACGATATATCACTTTATACATGACAGGCAAATGACTCCACTCCACCTGATGTTAAGTGGAAAGTGGTATCCAAACGCGAAGGAACCTAGTGCAGCGCTGAAACCCTCACTGCACTAGCCACCTCCACCCTGCCTGCCTACAATATGCCTTTTCCCAGACCCCATATCACTTCCAACTCTGGTTTTAAACGTTACTTAAAACCTACAGCAATGGGACTACATAAGTGTAAATCAGTGCCTCCAGTGAAAAACGGAATAAGACGAGTTATGCCCTTTTTGTTTTTATTGCACCATTGGCTTCAGCGTTATCGATTACATAACACATCAAAAGGACATCTCTCTAGAAGTCTTTTAAAGTCGTTTTTCTTATTGCACTAAGGGCATAACTCACTGTTTTTATTTATTTATTTATTTATTCATGGAAAACCAACAGCTATAAATATTTAGTAAGAAACAGCAATAAAAACATAAAGCCAATTACAGGTTTTCACTTATAGCTACAAGTTAGTTAAACACGAGCATTGGACTAATAAAACTAATAAATACAGCAATCCCATACGTGCGTCAACAATCACATGTTATTCAATTAAATTAATTAATATATCTGTTATTTTACGTTTTAGTGCACCAATGTTACAATTAAATATATCTACATCCAGGTCATAGTCACTTAGCACACCATTTAAACTCCTACTAGCTCTACATATAAAACTATTCTGTATATAGTTTGTCCTCGCTATGGGAACTACAAGAGGGTGGTAGTGTCTCATGGAACGTGTTGGAACATTAAATGAGAGTTCACCCAATAAGTCAATGCAATCAACCTTGCCGTTTATAATATTTAAAAGATACGTTATATCACAGATTTTTCTGCGATCATATAATGGTAATAGACGCTGATCTTTACAGAGACGCAAGTAACCCAATGAATTATAAGACTAACCCATTTTATAACACAAGAATTTAATAAATTTATTTTGAACTCGTTCTACTCTGTCGATATAGACCTGGTACCTCGGATTCCAAACTTGGGAGGCATATTCTAACTTACTACGAACATATGTACAATATAGTATCCGTAGAGTTTTTGGCTTTGAAAAACAAACTGAGTTACGCATTATGAATCCAAGAGACTTAGTAGCCCTGGAGACAATATCAATTTTAAAAGGCATAATTTTAGTTATCGGGCATTTTTTACGTTTCTAAAGGTACAAGTGGTCTTAACTTAAAAAATATATGCAAGTTTAACGATTAAGTAGAGATATATATACCATAAAAGCGACTATTGCCTTATTGCCCTTATTCCACAATGTATATAAGGGTATAACTGAGCATTCCGTTTGTTCCACTGGACAGGATTAGTAATACCCGCGACTATACCGTGTTGCTATTGGTTAATAGTTCGCAGCAGAAAACTCGTTTTATTCCTTTAACGATTTTATGTCTTTTATCAATGTGTTTAGTATCATAAGTATTGTTATAGCTATAGAACAGTCGCAGTTAAGGGAATAAGTCGAATGTCTTAAAGCTTGTTAACATAAGTCGTGTTACTACCGCTAAGCATTTACAAACAAGGACTCAACTCGAAAAAAACTTAAAAATATATAGAAAATATGACTGAATGCTTAACCAATACCCATTAAACGAAAGCTTAGATGTATACCTAAAGCTAGAAAGCACAAAAAGTACTAATAATAAATGTGATCAACCAATAATCAATAAAAGAATGGTTTTTGCCTCTCCTGAAAAGTGTCGATTTTGAGTTATTCCCTTTTTCACTGGAGGCACTGAAATTGTAGTATAATAATAGCATATATCAACAAACAATGCTCTAAAACATCATTATCTGTACAGGCTATAGAATGTGGTAATGGTACGACAATGAAATGTGAATAGAGATAGTGCATTTTTTATGTACTTTCTATTGTTATGTACTTTCTTATGTAAATAAGAATAAACGTATGTAATAATGTACTCTAGTCGATATGCCTTAGGGACGCATCACGTTTATGAAAATGGAACCGGCTTGAGCAGTTCAGAAAAATCTTTATGTTTAGAAGAGTGAAAAAAAAAATTTTTCATACATAAGCAAGGGTATACAGAGACCACGGAACTCCGCCTTACTCTATCCGGATACAACTTTCGCACCTCACGTACATCAACTGCCCTTTTCGTACAACTTTTATTCTTGTCACTTCAAGTCACTGATCTAGTCAATATAAGTCCTTCTGAGACGTCCTCTCAAAACCCTTCCATCCACATTCGCATCATAAATCTGATTGGTAATTCTTCTTACATACATCCGCTCCACATGCCCAAACCACCGCAACATCCCTTTCTCTATTTTAGTCACCACATTCTCTTTCAAGCTACATCTTTCATGTATTATTGTATTCTTCACTATATCACTCTATTTTAATCTACAAATTTTCCTCTTTTATATCTTTTATTAGAGGGACGTAAAAGCGTTTCTAACCGGCAAGTAAGTGTGGTCGCTCCCGTAATCCAAAATAAAAACCCGAGAAACCTTATAACGGCATTATGTCTATCAGAATTTGATTTATTACCAAAATTCCCCCTGCCCTTCCCCTGTCTGGGGATTTTAAGATTTTTTCCCTAACATAAATAGAACTAAAGTTGAAAAAAATCGAAACACATAAAAACGAAGAAAAATCACCAAATAAAAACACAGCCGCTGATGTCTTGACGATATTTCTAAAAACATAAAAAAACGCTCATAATGCCCGCTAGGAGAATGGACAGGGAAATCTCACAGATAAACCTCCGTAAATAAAAATAATTATAATATTGTAATCAAGTTCTTAGGTTTTCGCGATTGTTACACATAGGAAATGAAGCTATTTTACTGATCTAAACTTCCCCCATCACCAAAGCCCCATTCAGACCCTGACCACTATGGAGATAGGACCTTAGAGAAACATATTCCGTCCCTATTAAACAACTTACCAGTTTTTAAAAAATGTTGAAAAAATATTTTTTCACAAATTTTTGTTAAATAGTAATTTTATTTAAGATTTTTTAATCACACTAAGTGTCAGTTTGTCACTTCAATTGAGAGTCGTTTAGATCCATGTTTATCTAAGAAAATTTTACATCTTTTTAAATTCTAAAATAAATAAATGAAAAGACTGAATGCCGTTCTAGGATTTTCAGAAACTGAACTCTGGACTCACTCATCTAGCACCAAGAGTGCAATCACCCAGATCGTTATTGGTAGTAAATATACTCACGGCTTCCCAACGCGTCATAGTTGTCTCCGTGAGGAAAATTTTGAATTCCACTTTGACGGGACGTATGTCTTTACGCTCCAGGATCTGCCGGATCACCTGTAATTCATTTTGTGTTTTAATTCATTAAGTATTTTTCTCCATCCATATTTGTTATTCGATGTGTAGGTGTATGATGTATTTGTTTAGTTTTCAAATATTTTGAATTTCTTAAAATCTTTACAGCCTAACTTCGGGTGTGACATTATTTGAATGGATATTTTTGCACATGCCACAGCCGCACACATTACAGTAAGACCAGGTAGGGAAAAAAGGAACATACTTTAGTTTGAGTCAACTGCTTTGAGCTCTAGGAAGACAAAGTAGACTTATAAGAATTTTGAAGTAAACTAAACTAGCTATTGCTATTAAATAACAAAATATAAAATATCAGACAACAATCACATACGTTCCTCTGGTCTAAAAGTAACTAAAGCACTCGTCTTATGGTAATGGGTAACAACGACGATACCACAAATATTCAGACCCGAGATAATATAGAAAAGCTAGTTTCTACATTGACCCAGCTGGGGATCGATCCCGGGACCTCAGCGATGGCGACACCACGAAAGTCGGTGTGCAAGCCACTCAACCACCGAGGTAGCCTCTATTGAAAATAAAATCAAGTTGTAGTACCTGCTCGCGGCGCTGCGCCTGCAGCGCAGGGTGCAGGGTGGGGGGCTCGGCGATGCTCTCGGCGCTGCCGCTTAATGAGCTCGCGCTGGCCCATAGTAAGGCGCTCAACAAGTCACCTGCCAACAAAAATTCCATTTATTTAAAATCTAAAGAATTTCCAACTTATCTATTTCTCAAAAATAAATACAAACGCGATATTAAAGCTTTTGACAAAGACCACCTTTTTTACCTTTTCAAGGTTTAGTCCAAAAAACCCCATTGAGAAACAAAAGCCCACGGACGGGGATTGTAAGATATATTTCTGCAAATCCTCATTGCGAAGCAAATGTTACATAGTAGGTAGCTGTTTTTCAATAATTCCCTTTGTCAGTGTCAGGTCCGTGATAAATAGACGGCACTTAGGTCGGTCTTAAACGCTTATATGGTGTCATAATAGCACGAATTGGAACGGTACTATAAAGAGGTTACCTGTAAAGTTGTATAAACAAGTTAAAGAAATAAGCTTTGGAGAAAACAGAACGACGTTTACATAATATTGCTACGCACACTGGGTATTTATGGAAAAAAAAATCTAACATACCCCATTGGTATTCTCAGTGGGAATTTAAGAAATAAATCCACATCAAGATCCAAAAGTAAAACACTAATATCACAGACAGTTTTCACAAGGTGGCAGATAAAAATAATGTGTAATTCTTACGGGTGTTGTCGTCGTGAGTGGGGGTTGCGGGGGTTGCGGGGCTCGAGGCCCCGCTGTTCACCCCTCCGGGCGGTGCTGCGCCGAGTACAGGGACATCAGGACCACCTGTGGATAAACAATGATTGAATTTAATTTTTAACTAGGTTTATAGGATGTGGGTTATATTGATCACGGTGGGGAGCGGTTCGACTGCTCCATAACAAAACCTAGCCTAGTAGCAGTAGACCTCCTTGAGAAAGAGTTCGTCTAGGGACTGCCACATTACCTACCTATTGCTGACGGGCGCAGTGCCAGTGCCCCTTAGATATTTGCGATTTAAAGCTCTTTGTGGCACTGGAACTGTTATGGACAGGCGTGTAGCTTACCATCAGGCGCACGACGTGTCTTTCTCGTCACTTGATATTATAGAAAAAACCTATTATAGTAAGTGCTTATAAATTATACAGGAGAGCCAAAAACACAAATCAATGTGGCCCTTAAATAATTTTTCTTTTAAATGTAAAGTGTTAGGTACGGTAATTATGGCAACTAATGTATTGATGTCGTAAAAATAATCACAACTTATGAATTACATATTTTATATCATAGCTAACTCTGAATATTTATAACATAAGTTAATGTAGCAACCAGAATCAAAACACGGTATAAGCATTTGCCAGGTATTAGGTTTAGTTATTGCATTAGAAAATTTGATATAGTTTTACTAATTAAAATAACAAAACGACCGGTTGGGACTTGTTAACTCAGTGTGACGGGCAGTTCCCTGACTGCCATAGTGGGAAGAGATCTCTCGCTGCCAACAATCGTGGGCGCAATCCTCGGCAGCGAGAGGTGCTGGGAGGCTATGGCCTCTTTTTGCGAGAGAGTAATCTCGCAGAAGGAGGCTGCGGAGCGCTCCAGACAGGACGACCCCTCTCTGACCCGTTTCGAAGTCGTAGGCCGGGAAGACGAACGAGGCAATACCCTTCCCTGCCGGCCTTCTTCCCCCGCCGTAGATTGGAGTCGGGGTACCCCTTCCACCAAGACTAAGGGAGCCCGAGGCGCTGTCCAAAGTCCAAGTCCAAAGGACTGGGCCGGCTCCTTGCGGGCCATCCGCCGAGACGTCCCAGTAGTATGCGCAAGTATATATACGGGACTGCCGCCCTGGAGTCCCACATAACCGGTCGATGCTCCCCCAAGCCGAGCGGTATGCGTAACGCATTTCCCAAAATCAAGTGAGTTTCTTACCACAGAGGCCCGGCGCCCAGGCACAGCGAAAAACACTCGGCGTCAGACGCCGACAGAGCCGACCGCTTGCTGCCGGCCGTGCTCAGCGACGCGCCGTCACCACTGTAAACAAACAAACATACATCTGTTATACTACGCAATACCATCTTCAATAGTTCATTTGTAAGAGTAAATATTGTCTACGTTATATTGATAACTGTTACTAAGTAACAAATATTCAAAAAGGTTCTGTATGTGATTTGACAGTATTGGTTTCTGCAAAATTGTAGTAAGTGTATAAGAAATGGATAATATTATTTCATCCTGAAAGATATTACTGATCTATTGTAAAAGTGCGCTTTTTTAAATAAACGATAATTTTGTTTACGTTATATTAGCCGTTTTGTCTATAACAGTTGATCTACGGACAAATTATAAATGAACTATATTAAAGGTAACATTTGATAGTTAAAAATAATATTTGATTCGCACTTCGCGACTGACCGGTCAGAGCAAATAAGAGTAGAATTACGTAAATAATTCAGGGGCTCTGATTGGCCGGGCGGAGTCGCCGGCGCATTGATAGGGCCGGTACGGTGTGGGAGACACCGTATCGGTACATAATATAAGATAACAAGGCAATACGTGTTAGTAAAATAGAGAAAACACTTATAAAATATTGTTAATAGGAACATTATATAACATATCACTTAATTGCATCCGTGGCCGAACGGTTACCATGCCGGACTGCCACGCAGAGGTTCCAGGTTCGGTTCCCGGGTCGGGAGAAATATTTATATGGCCTACATTTATTTATCTTGTGAGTTTGGGTGTAATTTGTGATTGTCTATGTGAGTGTCCACGGCACCCGCGACTGTGTCATCGACTCGTCATTTGAAAAGCAAAATACAAAAAAAATCCAATGGCAGTTGAATAGTAGCTCGATAGCCACTGATCCATGAATCCACTACACTTAACTTTTACCAGAATACCAACAAAAATCATGCCATTGACTCTCGACATACAGTTGAGATGATTTAGTATTAGCAGATTTGAGATAGTATTAGGCGCTCCGCAGATGGAGCAACTTTGATAATCGAGTTTCGGCAACTGGCAACCCGCAACTAGCTGTTAATTTTCATATGAATTCAAGAAACCGCACAGACGTAGCAACTTCCGTTGAGAGTTTCGGCGAAAATTCTTAATTGCCGCAACTGGAAACTTGCAAATTTGTACCGGTTGTCTCCAGTTGCCTCAACTAGACATCGACCAATTCCCTGGTTTGAGATCATATAATGCAATTGTACATCGTATTTTCTTCGACCCCTTGATATGATAAGTCGCAGTACAGCATTCAAGTAGAATTCACCAACAGTTTATCACTTCATAGAAGATTTTGTGTAGAATTATCGACTCACAGTTGTAGCTAAGGAAAACACCAAAAATTCTATTTTAAGTCATGACTTGTTATCGTGTTGATAAATAACAATACACGCTATATTACGTAAGCACGTAAACACAGAGTCAACATGAAATTTGCAGAGAATCCGGGGCTTTATTATTATTTCCTTAATGGCGGTCAATAGGCTTGAGCCAGTGTCACTTTTGAAAGACTAAGAGTGGTCACAAGGTGACTTTTAACAGCGATGAAAACGTCAGTTCGTGAAACAAACGTACAAACGCGCGATTACATCGATGCAATCGCCTGTACATCCTAAAGGCGCATTTATTAGACACGAATTTCTTCGCGCTCTCCCCGCGCGGTCGAAGAGCGGGGCCCGAGTTGCCGCCGCGCAGCGACCGCATGCGTCTGTCATGGCAAAATGCGCTCTATTTGTTTAGCCTTTACGTTTTAACTGGATTTCAAGGGTTTGTATTATTCAAAGGAATTTAAATGGTGTTGTCTAATAAATGGAATACAGATTCGCCATTAAAATACACGACAATCACGCATTTCGACTCATCCAAAGAACAGAATCCGTTGTGATTATATAGCGAAAAGATATTAAGGACGTTACGATACGAGAATAATTTCGTTATTTAAACTAAGGCCCATGCAAAGTTGTTTTGAGAATTTATATACCTTATTTCGTTTCAGAAATATAAAATCAAACAACAGTCGATCTGACATCCCCAGCGAAGAAGAACGAACGAAATGTACTATCCTGAGAACAAGTAGTCTTGCACATAGATCTTTGTTCTACGGATGAGTCGATTTGTAACGATGCAGTCGCGCGCTTGCATTGCATTGCTGCTTAAAATCGCTCGCGTGTGTAAAGGTACATGATTAGAGACTGCATCGCGTTTGCATCGCTGCCAAAAGTTACCGTGTGTAACCGCTCTAATGTAAAAATTCGTCTTCTTTTTAATTATTATCGGTGCCATTTTACAAATATGGCGATCATCGCCAGTGTCAGTAATCGAGCTTAAAGGTATTTGTTTTTCCATAGACTAAGTATTCAATGGATTTTGACATTAAACCTTTTTTTTTAAATTTATTAAGGCTTTAGCAAAGCCATCATCAGCCTAAACATGAAGTTTAATTATGTTTCTGTAAATATGGCCGCCACAAAGAGGATAGGCAATTTGAGGCGGCGTGCTTGGATTGACTCGGGATTCCTTAGAACGGGCCGATACGGGTATTTTAGTTCGAGATTCGTATAATTTCGCGTTTTAATCTTCGATTAAGGCACAATAGCACTATCCTATTCTACTTTAAACTAGATTTCACAAAATAATTGAAAGTCAAAATAAAAACGACACTTTTCCCTCCAAAAGGTCCAGAGCGAATCCGACATTAAACCTCTTGAATATCTGACAGAACATAATAGAAATTTAGACCATAACGCAACAAAAGAGATTGTAAAGAAAGAGATCAATGTGGATATAGAGATTAAAGAATGCAAAGGTTTCGCGTCAGACAAACGTCCGTACTTCCCGATATAGTACCACCCAATTTTATGCTAATTTTTTCTTCTTTTCGCTTTGAAGCCTAACCTTAGAGAAAATTAAAATATCCACAAACGACGCAAATGAATAAGACCGTAGAACAAAATAACGAAGAAAACTGATAACATTCGCTCTACGATCAAGGAAGTCACAGCAAATTTGTTGCGATAAAAATGCGCATAATTGTACTATAACTCATGGGAACTAATATACGCAATAAATTAATCAATATGTGTACAACACAGGTTTCCTCTAGAACCTGGTAGTGGTCATAAAGGAAAGATTAACAACTCAACTGGTCAACCGGTTGGTTGTGGCGCCCGGTGTGGTGGTTCGTGACTTAGAATATTTTTTTATGTATAACATTAAGAGGACGGGACGTACAAGTCGTGCGCCTGGTGGTAAGCTACACGCCTATCTATAACAGTTGCAGTGCCACGCAGAGCTTTAAATCGCAAAGATCTGACGGACACTGCCACCGCGCCCGTCATCCTAGACTAAGTTCACGAGTCCCATGTGCCTGTAATTTCACCAGCACCCTTACCCTTCAAAACCGGAACACAGTAATGCTGACATACTGCTTGGCGGCAGAAATAGGTAAAATGGCAGTACTTCCCTGGACGAACTCTTTCACATGGAGCTCTACTACTACTGTATACTTCGAGAAATCTACTGTACTACTTACTTGTGAAATTTTCATCCCCCCATTTCCTTTTAAGACTTATTGTTGTGACAAAAAGAAGCCCATGTCCTCCTACATAGATTCCGTCTATCTCTATACCAAAGTTCATCAAAATTTAACACGTATAACCCAAACCGAATCGTTAAAACAGGTTTACAAATCCGGTGTGATTTAAAAAGACGG